GGTGGTTGGAGTTGGGAAATTGAGTTTCAAGGCAGCAAAGTCAATGGGATGGGATGGGGAGAAGTAGACTGAAATCACTGTGATCCAGCGGCGAAGAAAGATGCGAATAGCTGTGCACGGGACAGTAGTTTGTGTGGGAGGTATGATGTAAGGTGTTTTTGATGATAAGTATAGACGAGAACAAAGGGAGTGTGGGAAGAGATAAAATGGTAATTGGGAATTGGAATAGGAGGGTGTGTGAGGAAAGTCTATTGGAGCAGATGAATAGATAGATTATAAGAAGCAAGGATATGACGTAGTCTGGTCTGTGAGAATGGAAACCGCGAATATTCCAATGTAGGAGAGCTATATCTTAGTTATTTATGAGTGAAATATCGGTACATATTGGGGAATCTTGGGGGGGGAAAGGAGCTAGGGGGTGTAAAGGAGGGGTATAGGAAGTGGGGATCTGGGGAAGGGCATTGTTGTGACATGAGTGATTCTCGTGTGTATCCGGAGGGAGTGCAAAGGATAGAGGGGATGGAGGGAGGGAGAATGTGCCTATAGTTGGGGTTGAAGGGGGTGGGTTGTGTTGGGAGGGAGTAGATGTGTGGGGAGTATTAGTGTTAGGAGGATGAATATCAGAAGGATGGATAGTTGGAGTTGAAGGGGATGTGTTGTCTTGGGAGGGATTAGGAGGAAAGGGTGTAGGGGTGTTGTGAGTAAGAGGGGGATGCATATCAGGAGGATGGGTATTGGGAGGATGGATATCAGTGGTGGGGGATTGAGGGGGTTAGGTTGTGTTAGGAGGAATATATTAGTAGGAGGGTATGGATATCGGCAACCACTTCAAGTGTGGAAAGGAGCATGAGTTATGGGATCTTGTTGTCCTCAAGCATATAGCTTTGAATGTCATCCATTGTTTCTGCAGTGGAGTTTGTTGGAGAGTTTTGTGAGAAGGTAATTGTTTCTACAATGGAATTGGTTGGAGAGTTTTGTGGGATAAATGTTTTCTTATGAGGGGGGAAGAGGAGACTGGTGTCTCAGGAACAAAAGTATAGGTAGGTAGAGGTGATTGTGCTGTAGGGGAAGAAGGGTTAGAACGTTTAGTCTGTCTACTGCGGGTAGTGCGGGGAGGGAGAGGGGTTGGTGTTGGGGCTGTAGTTGAGATAGGAGCTGTGTTGAGATTGGGGTGTCTGGGTTTAGAGTGGCAAAGGAATTGGTCTGAGGGATGTAGAATGTAGAAGTGGAAATGGGGACATTTTGGGGTGGAGGGGGAAGGGCTGAGCGAATGATGTTGCTAGAATATGGAGTATGAGAGAAACCTTGTCGACGTGCTTCCTGTCTGGCTTCACGTAAAGTGAGACCATTTTTGTATCTGAGAGTTGCTACCTCAGATTCAAACTTGTAAGTGGGACAGCCTCTATAAAATACATTATGGGGGCCGCCGCAGTTAGCACATGTTCGTGTTTTGTGCTGGATGCACATATGGGGCATCGGTCTGTGGAACAGCAATGTTTGGCAGGATGTCCAAAATGACAACAGTTTTGACATTGACGGGGAGGGGGTTGGTATGGTCGAACAGGGAGGGATTGTCCACCAATGTAGATACGTAAGGGAAGGTCATGGGTACGGAAGGTAATTTTGGCAATATTGGTCGGATTCTTTCGTTGACCTTTAGGAGGAATGGTGTAGCAATGTACTGATTTCACGTCTTGGTCTTTGAGGCATCCTAATAAGTCTTCTACACAGTCTGACCAATCTTTGGTATCGACTGGGCAGTTTGCTGGGAAGAGAGACACAGTTCCGGTACAGGTATTAAGGGTTGGATGAGGTTCTGCAGGAATGGGGTTGCCAGAATGATCCGTTAAATTTGATAGTGCTATAGATTCAGTTTCTGATCTGACTTACCAGACGGGAGCGATCGCGTCTGGTATAGAAAGGGACTCTGCCTACTTGTTTTTGGAGGCATTGTTGAAAGAGAAGAGTGTTGCCTGAGTAAGGAGCTGTAGCAGGGATCACGAAAAATCGGTCCCATTTAGCTGGGCTAAACAGAGTATTTAAGATATCTGTAGGGTTGGTGGTGGTGGATATGGTCGGGACGTGTGGAAGAGGGAGTATTACGCGATGATGGAGAATAAGGTTGCAAGGTAGTAATAAGGGAGGATTGGTTGTTTGATGAAGGTTGCAGGGGTAGAGTTAAATTTGAGGAAGTTGGGAGGGTAGGAATGTCTTCTGGAGATTGATTCTCTGCTTGGGTGGGTAATGCACTAGTAGGCATTGAGGAGTGGGTAGCAGTTTCAATGTTCGGAGCCGTGGTCAAAGGAGAGCCTGGGTTGGGGCTATCTGATAAAGGGATTACATTTTCATTACTGGTCATGGGGAACCTGGATTATGTAAAAAGGCCTATACGGTCCACCTCCTTTCGCTACTGAAGGTAAGGGCTAGATTAGTCGGGAGTATCGTGCCCATAGTTCCCGCAGGCCGTTCAGGACTGGCACTAGGTCAGCCTTTCATCCTCTCAGCACGGGTCTCACACCTTAGGAAGTAGATAGTAGAAGGGGATGGAGAAGAGACGGAAACAAAAGCTGGAGGGGGAAAAGACCATGCAAAATTAGTTGAGTCGAGGGCTGAGGCCCTAGGCAGGGGAGATCCCTGTATTGGGTCTCAGTTTCCGTCTCCTAAGCCCCCCCACGACAACAACGGGCAAGGGATTGGGGGGGGTTTATTTTTGTAACTTTTAGTTTTATTTAGGTGGTATTGTTTTATTTTATATATGTGCACTGTTATTTATGCAGAACCATTACCTTGATCTTATCCCTGCTTAATTTGATTTTATTTGATTATATTGCTTATGATTTTATCTGATTTACTTTGTATTTTGTTCGGTTTTATTGTGTGATGTTCTTGGTTTTGTTTGCTTTTACCGATTTTGGTTTCAATTTTGGTTTTAAGTTCCTTTTTTTTTGGTTTTATTGCCTAGTCTAATCCCTTTTTACTAGGGCATTTTCCTTCTTTTTATTTATGCTTTTATTTTTCCTTGGTTTTCTTGTTTTATTTTGGTTTCTCTTCAGCACCAGGTTGTATTCAGATTTTAGATATATTTAATGCACTGGATTTCTGTTCATTTGTATGTATATTGTGTTCACAGCTAAGTCCATGTGCTAATCCAGCTCTTTTCACAGATTGTTGTTGGTGATGTACTAGTCCACCCACAGTTATGGTCGGTTCAGAGGACGGGTGTTGGCGCCTGTTTTTGGTAATGTATTGTTCGTCTTACTCGGGACCCTCAGTGGCACCCCTCGGCCCTCTGCCGTAGGTGGTCGCCCTCCTCTCGCTCCGTCTGTGTGTGTACCTGTGTGACACCCCAGTGCCTGTTGATACATTCTGGAGTCGATGGGCAAGGCCGAGCGTGAGGGACCTCCGGAGAGAGCCAAAGCCCTTCGGCGAACGTTTACGACGGAGAGGAGGCGTTCAAAGTCAGGTGGGGAGGGAAGATGTAGTGAAACATACCGCTATGACCCTCACTGCTGTCGGAGACGGTGCCTGTAGAGTTCCAGATTTCTAACGAGTGATTTTGTCTGCCTCTCCGGCACCTGAATTTGATATTAAAAAGAACATTTGACAACCTGTGACTGTAGTTTTTATCTTGTGTTTACGTTTTATGTTCAGTGTGCCTTTTTATGTTTTGTGTGATGTGTGTGCCTGTGTGAATCTTTTAAGTCTTTTATCTAACCCTTACTTTACTTTTTCATGTTTTCTTAAGTTTCCCCATCTTTCCAGTTTTCCGTCTTCTTCCTCCTTTATGTTATTGCCTTTAACTTTTTGTCTTTATACTTCTATTGTTTTATACCTTCTTAATCTCTTAGTTATCATTTTATCTTCTGATTTGTTTTATCAATTCCTTCAAATACTTTGAAGCCGCTTTTCTTCTGAATTTCTTTTGTGGTGAACCCTCTACTTTTAAAAGGAGCCACACCCCTTTCTTTCTCTTTTCATATTCCATGCTGATAGGCTTAACATCTCCCTGATTTCTGGTGTGTTTTGCCGTATGACTCAGGTGTGGGTGACTGATTCGCAATGTTTTTACCTGGATATTTTTCTCTAAATATGTGGCTAGTGCATATTTTATACATACTGATTAAGACATTCTGGTACATAAATAAATACATACATTATTAGAATTCTACTGTTTTGCCCCACCCTCAGTCAGTTTTATTCTTTATGCTTTACTTTCTGGCTTTATTTTTCTTAATCTGTTCAAGGTTTTTTTTACTCTCACCCAGTATCTTCCTGAATGATTTGAAATGGTTTTAGAATAAAATATGAAGGGCCAGACTCGGACACAATCACTAATAAAATGACAGTTTAAGGTTGGTCAGTGCAGCAGCCCTACACCCTGGCATGCCTGCTATCACTAGCCAAGGGTGTTGCAATCACTACAAAAGATGTAAAAAGGAAAGAGAGGACACGAGAGAAGGAGGGAGGAAGCTAGGGAAGGAGGGATGGATGGAAAAAAGGAATGGAGGGAGGAAGGTGGGAAGAATGAAGCAAGGGAAAGAGGGATGGATGGAAAAAAGAAAAAGGATGCGAGAGAAGAAGGGAGGAAGGAGGGAAGAAGGAAACGAGGGAGGGAGGGATGGATGGAAAAAAGAATAGAGGACACAAGAGAGGGTGGGAAGAAGGAAGCAAGGGAAGGAGGGATGGATGGAAAAAAGAGAGGACGCAAGAGAGGGAGGGAAGAAGGAAGCGAGGGAAGGAGGGATGGATGGAAAAAAGAAAGAGAGGACGCGAGAGAAGGAGGGAAGAAGGAGGGAAGGAGGGATGGATGGAGAAAAGGAATAGAGGACACGAGAGAGGGAGGGAAGAAGAAAGGGAAGTAGGGATGGATGGAAAAAAGGAATAGAGAACGCGAGAGAGGGAGGGAGGAAGGAGGGAAGAAGGAAGCGAGGGAGGGAGGGAAGAAGAAAGGGAAGTAGGGATGGATGAAAAAAAAAAAAAGGAGGCGAGAGAAGGAGGGAAGAAGGAATCGAGGGAAGGAGAGATGGATGGAGAAAAGAAAGAGAGGACACGAGAGAGGGAGGGAGGAAGGAGGGAAGAAAGAAGCAAGGAAGGAGGGATGGATGGAGAAAAGGAAGAGAGGACACGAGAGAGGGAGGGAAGAAGAAAGGGAAGGAGGGATGGATGGAAAAAAGGAATAGAGGAAGCGAGAGAGGGAGGGAGGAAGGAGGGAAGAAGGTTTGGATGCGAGAGAGCGAGGGAAGAAGGGGTGGATGGAAAAAATAAAGACAGGATGCGAGAGAGGGAGGGAAGAAGGAAGCCAGGGAAGGAGGGGTGGATTGAAAAAATAAAGAGAGGACGCGAGAAAGAGAGGGAGGAAGGAGGGAAGAAGGAAGCGGGGGAAGGAGGCGTGAATGGAAAAAATAAAGACAGGAAGCTAGAGAGGGAGGGAGGAAGGAGGGAAGAAAGAAGCAAGGAAGGAGGGATGGATGGAAAAAAGAATATTTTGGTATTCTGATTTTCTGATATGGGAAATTAAAAGAAATTAAAAGAAACATAAATAATTCATGTATTCATGTAAAGTACAAGAATATGCCATACAGTGTAGCCCCCTCCAAAAAAAAATGCAATAGAGGATTAAAATGTAAGAATATTAAAATGGACAATATAGCAACTCACATAACACACATAGATCATGTTAACACTAGAGTCGAATCTTTCATGATGGCAGACAGTTTGTAATGGTGTGTTAATTTCAACTGTATGAATGATATCAACAAAAGAAAACACACTATAAATTCATTAACTTTTCTAAGGAAAAGCTTGCACTTTCGTTTGATAATTAACACTTCCGTCGAGTCCCTTCAGAGTCCCTTTGTCACAGTAAGATGAGGGTTGAAGGGCGACGAGTGTCAAAGGGCGGGCTCCAGACGCACTACTGCATATCGAGGGAAGCGACGTTGACTCTTTAGGACATCACAGGAAGACGAGGACGAGGTGAGGCAAGGGGGCCGGTAAGTAGTTGCGGGTGGCGATTGAAGACTATACCTCTGTGTCCTGGTACATGATTCACCTGGCTGTTTGTAAAATGCAAAAGATATAACTAATATATAGACTAATCAAAACAGAGCCGCTATAATAAAACCTAAATTAAATATTTATACACATATTGTCTACATAAAGTTATACGACTAAACTGAAACATCATGAAATATTACATAAAAAGCACAAAAAAAAAAAAAAAAAAAAAAAAAAAAAAAAAAAAAAAAAAAAAAAAAAAAAACTCCGTGACCTACCAGTAAGTTTCCACTACTTAGGGGATGAAGGGGGCCTCGCTCCCTTGTTCGTGGGGGTAGCCTGTTTGGCTGCATCTCGTTCCCACTGCTTCCACAGTTCTCTCTGCCTTTTCTCTTCTGCAACCTGGAAAAGAAAGTTATTAAGATAAGGAAATATTAAAACTGCAATTGCAATGCTCCAATTTCGCAATTGCCATAACATCTGGGGAAAAGTAAATGTAGAAACACTGTATAAATTATAACATGATTGTGACAATACAATAGCAGTGGCATAACTTGACATACCTGCTTCTGTTTCCTCCGGATTTCAGTCCGATGGTTGTCTAGCTGGAAGTAAATAATGATTACAGCAATAATCACAAAGAAGCGATTATGAAACTAGCTTTTTCACATTAAAAAGGAAACTAATAGCGTTTTAAGCAGGGAAAGTTCTTGCCTAAAATCTCAAGAATATTTCCTGCTAACTCAAGAATTTCGTTTGCTTTCTCAAGCGACCCCTGTAGATGGCTAGACTTGCACTTGCTAAGTCCAAGGAATCTAGAAGGGAGGTAGCGTCCAAGGTCTATATAAGTACTTATATAGATCTCCCTTCTAGATTCCTTGGACTTAGCAAGCGCAAGTCTAGCCATCTACGGGGGTCGCCTGAGAAAGCAAACGAAATTCTTGAGTTAGCAAGAAAAATTCTTGAGATTTTAGGCAAGAACTTTCCCTGCTTAAAACGCTATTAGTTATCATACCGTGGTGGTATTTGAGTTACATTATCTATAGTATTTGTTTTTATTATGATTTTTAGTACTTAGCATGTTTCTGTAACTCTGTGAACTATAGTTCTTTTGTCTGTATTTATGTTATTCTTTTTTATCAAACCTGTAATTATTTGCTTGATAGACATTGTATTTTGTTTTGCCATTTGGATGCATTCTTGTTGTTTTATTATTTGTTTCAGTGGCATTGTATTTGTTAGTGTTTGGAGCAGTATTAGAGGTGTTGATTTGAAGCAACCTGTAGCTATTCTTAATGCCTCGTTCTGTATGGTTTCTAATTTTTGAAATTCTGAATTTTTTATAGTACCATATATAGAGCAACCATACATTATATTTGGTTATCAATTAAAACACATAAATAAACTTTATGCATAATCTCTCAAAAGAAACTCCAGATGAAATAATAAGAAAACAATATAAACTGATGGAAGAAACAACATACAAAAATCATAACAAAATATTTACTGACGGATCCAAAATAAAAGAAACTAATTCAGCCTCAAAAAACAGAAAATTAGACATATGCATGATGAGATTGAAAACAACACACACAAGATTAAAACACCCCCTCCACAAAATAAAAATTGAAAACATTCCTTTTTGCAGATGGTGTGAAAATCAGAAAGAAACAATAGAACACTTATTCCTTCAACGTCCAAGATCAAACAGAGTAACTTTGCTGGAAGCTCTAAAGAAGATAAAGATATATAATTCAAATATAAATCAACTGATTATATGAGAAAATATACCAGCAGAACAAAAATCCTACTTACTAAGACATACAAAAATATTCATACAAAAAACGAAGATTATAGACATAATACAAGAAAAAAGAAGACAGAAAGGATCCAGGGGATATAGGGAACAAGAGTCTAAAACCCTATAAAAGAAGAAAGAAGAACCAACCATGACATGCTATATTGGTCAATCTCGAGAATCGAATTAAAATCTCATAGAGTGAACACGGAACTTTACATCCGAGTGAAGTGATTGTTTGTGACAATAAATGGACGGAAACTTAAACCCAGACCCAGGAGAAAAGCCTGGATCAATAAAAGAAATGGACTATAATAATCAAACAAACAAGACCAAGAGAAGAAAGTGACAATGAAGAAAATCTAGACCCCAAACTCACAAGAAGACACGAAGCCGGCAGAAACTTAGAACCTCAATCAACTGCAACTAACAGCACTACAAACAGGCAAGATGAAATTACAAAACATGTAGTACTAATTAGTTTAACCGATGGATCTGACAGAGCAAGCTTTAATAATCCCATGAAACTGACAGATGCCCTAAACAAATCAATATTTCAAAAATATATCATAGCAGACTCCTTGAGAGTTCTAGGCACTGGTAGAGCCATAAGATTTGAGGTGAATAGCCTAACTAAATTACCTGCATTAAATCAAATAACAAAGCTTGGAGAGTGGAATATCCTTTGCAAACAACCAACTTCAAATAAAAATATAGGCTGTTCCAATGGCACGATTTACCCAATAGAAACAGAACTAGAGCCTAAAGAAATAATAGAAAAAGTAAGACCACTGCTAGGGCATGCTAATGAAATAGTGGAAGTGATCAGAATAAACAAAGTAAACAATAACAAACAGAGCACAAAAAAATGGTTACCAACAAAATCTCTAAGGATAACATTCAAAGGCCCATTACCTGAAAGAGTTGCCATTGGTCATACATCATATAGTGCAACAATATACATTCCCTATACCAAAATGCTTTTGATGTCTGAAATATGGGCATGGAATAATGACATGCAAAAACAAAAAAGATGTAGTAGGTGTAGTGATATCATTCATGATTACAAACAATGCACAAATAATCCATATTGCTTCTTCTGTGACGAGAACCACTCGCCAAACACAGACTGTCAAATACATAAAAGGCGCAACAAATAAACAAACAAAATACAACGCCTAACAACCTTGATATTAAGAGACAATTTCAAGAATTAAAACCCCTTCCCAAAAGCAGTAACATAGTTGCAATCGAAAATAAGGCTTCCCCCAGAAACTCAAATCTCAATATAAGAACATCAATAAATGAAGAAAATATAAAGAAACCCACATATAATCCAACAACAGAAACATATGCTCAGACTCTAAACTTAGCTCAAAGTCTAACAGCAGGACAGAGAACACCAACAAAAATGAAAACCCAAAGCACATTAAAAAAACAGAAAGAAAAAATTCCCACATCCAAAGAAGAAACGCAGAAACGCAAAAAACAAACAAACAAACAAACAAACATAAATGATTCAATTCAGACCAACCCAATAAAAGATAAATCAAAACAAATAGACATAGAAGATTCTCCAATAGCTTGGACCCTACCAACCCCATTAAGGGACATGGAAACACAAAGATGTACAAACAAAAAACAAAGAAGAATTCTCTTGGATAGAACTAATAAAAATTACAATGACCACAATAACAAACATCATAAATGATATGGATACAGAGAAAAAATTATAGAGGTGATAATAGATGCAGTCAAAGAATTTTCCCCAATATTTAAAAAGTTCATATCACTTCTAAATGAATTAAGTAATTCTATGGAATGCAAGATCAGTCTTAAACAAATATATAGTGTAAAGGAATGAAGAATTCCTTGTCTGATATATATAGAATTAAGATCTTAAAGAATTTATTTGATTTAATTTATTAACAAGAGAATAATTATTTAATTTCATTTAGTTTGAACGTTGGCTACAGTGACGCTAGACTTGTACGAACGTCCTACAAAAATACATTGTTGTGAATCCGCGGAGCCCCGCTAGAGAGCCACGTGAGATGCCTTGTAGAGAACTGGTCGAGACTTTGAAGAGTAAACATCGAGAATCGTTTGAACCACCATAAAGAAAACATTTATCCCGGTAAACATAAAAGATAGAAAATTTTAGTGTAAATATGGACGTTAAAAACATTCCAGACCCAGGAAAAAGTCCTGGAAAAGCCCAGCAAATGGACTATGGAACATTAAACAACAGAAGACGTAAAAACAATGACAGTGATACAGAAACAAACCCACCGTCCAAGCAACACCGGAACGAAGAAGCCGGAAGGAACTTCATACAGTTTCAACCAGTAGGAAATAACAACACCGAACCCAGGAATTAAGTAGGCATGAACAGATATGTTATACTAATACAACTATCAGGGGAATCATTAATTTCAAATTTCAATAATCCAATAAAATTAACAAATGCAATTAACAAATCAGAATTTCACAAATATATAATTGAAGGCACACTCAGAGTCCTAGGGATTGGGAAGGCAATAAGATTCGAAATAGAAGACTTTAAAAAAGTAAGACCACTAGCAGAAATAAAAAAACTTAGACCATGGGAAATAACTTGCAAACAGCCTACATCAAGTAATAATACAGATTGTACATACGCAACTATATATCCAGTTGAACCAGAACTGGATATAAAAATAAAAGAAAAAATAAGAACTATAAATGAAATCTCCCACATCCAAGATGTAATAAGGAATAATAAAATCAACACCGATAAAAACAAAATTGAAAAATGGACTCCAACAAAATCATTAAGAATTACATTTAAAGGACTACTACCAGAGAGAGTCATAATTGGACACACATCCTACAAGACACAGCAATATACCTTCCCAACCCTGAAATGTTATAAATGTCTGAGATATGGACATGGGATCTTAACCTGTAAAAACAAAAAAAGATGTAGTAGATGTAGCAGTACTAATCACGAATTTAAAACTTGTACAAATGACCAATATTGTTTCTTTTGTGATGAAAAACATGTACCAAACAGCAATACATGTGACATACATAAAAAAGCACAAGAAATTAACAAACAAAACTTTACACCAAATAACCCAGACATAAAGAAAAAACTACAACTAAAACCAAAATCAGAACAAACCACAAATCATAACAACAAAGACAAAGAATCCCAACAAGACAACACAAAAATAACAAAAACAAAACATACACCACAGAGTAATGCATATCCCAGAAACACAAATCAAAACCAGAACCAGAATACGCCACAGAGCTATGCAATAACTTTAACACAAAATGTAACACCAGGACAGAAAACACCTCCATGACAAAAAATACAAAACACAGAGAAACCCAATCCAGTTAAAATTAACACCAGAAACAAATAAACAACAAAATAAAACAGAACCATTAAAACCATCAAACCACACAAACAAACAAAAAAATACAAATACAGAACAATCGCCAATAACATGGACTTTACCCACACCTATAACCCACTCCCATCATCCAAACCCAATAACTACACCTTTAACCCAAATACACCATCACCCATCACCTGTGCCAAACACATACACCGAAAAACAAAAGGGAAAAAACAGAAAAGAAGAAGAAGAAGACAAAGAGAATTCAAACTGGGTAACTACCACAAAAACTATAATAAAAGCAATAACAAATTTGATCAACAATATAAATTCAAAGAAATCCTTTTTAGAAATAATAATTGAAACAACAAAAGATTTTACCCCAATTCTAAAACAAATAATTAGATTAATAAATGAATAAAATAATTCTATGGAATGCCCATTCTATCC